TATCATGCCCTTATAAATATTTGTTGTCGTTTGCCTTTGAGTTGTTTCCAACTTACACCACGAGGTTTTCTTGGCAAGCTCGGTTCAGAGGAGGTTTGCCGTGGCCTTCCTCTGAGGCTGAGAGAGTGTGACTTGCCCAAGGTCACCCAGTGGGTTTCCACGGCTGAGCTGGGAATCGAACCCTGGCCTCCAGAGCCACAGTCCCAAAATTCAAACCATTACGCCACATTGACGCGCCTTATGTAATAAAAAAATATATCAAATACATATACGTAGTGAAAAACAGGGGCGATGAAAAATAGCACTATAAATATACACAAAAGTTTGGCAACACTTTTTCACGATGGCCACAGATGTTGCTGAAAGTTGCAAACTCTTCCGAACAAACGCTGGAAATAATTGTTTATGAACAGGCTTCATTGTATCCCTAGTCTTTTAAAAGTGGACCACCAGACCTCACGCTTCGCAAGCAGATTGATTTCCAGCTTTCAATTTATGTTAAGCATCTGGCACTGAGTTGTGAGTTGACTCAGATCTAATCTGCCCTTTAAAAGCAGCTTTGGTCAGGCCTCACCTGGAATACTGTGTCCAGTTCTGGGCACCACAATTCAAAAAGGATGTTGAGAAGCTGGAGTATGTCCGAAGGAGGATGACCAAAATGGTGAAGGCTCTGGAAACCATGGCCTATGAGGAATGACTTAGGGAGCTGGGGATGTTTAGCCGGGAGAAGAGAGGTTGAGAGGTGATATAATAGCCCTGTTTAACTATTTAAAGGTATGTGATATTGAGGATAGAGCCAGCTTTTTTTCTGCTGCTCCAGAGACTAGAACACAGAACAATGGACTCAAAGTACAGGGAAAGAGCTTCAACCTCAACATTAGGAGGAACTTCCTGACAATAAGAGATGTTTGACAGTGGAACTACTCCCTCAGAGAGTGGTGGATTCTCCTTTTTTGGAGGTCTTGAAACGAAGGCTGGATGGCCATCTGTTGGGGGTGTTTTGATTGTGTCTTCCTGCATGGCAGGGGGTTGGACTGGATGGCCCTTGGAGTCTCTTCCAACTCTATGATTCTGTAATTCTATGGAAAAGGTGGGATAACAGGATTAATTGGGACTGGCCCTGCCATGTCAGGACAACTGGAGGTACAAAGCAATGCTACTCAGGAAGGTGATCCACAGACCTGTCCCAGTCCATGAACCATCAACTGCTTGTCTGCACTGAGTTTCTAAGCCAAGCAGTTGAAAGTGATTAAAAAAAACTATTACCAAGCTCATGGCTAATTCGGGGATGGATTGGATGACCCTTGCGGTCTCATTTTCTATGTTTAAAACTGCATTTGCCAAGCAATTGTAAAATGCTTTGCTTTTCAGTTTGGCTTCACTGGAAAAGATAGCAAAGGCTGTTCCAGAGCCAAAGAGATAAGAAAAGGAATATTTGTTGTTGTCAGTTATAGGGGTTGCAGACTGCCAGAAATAGTGCAAATTGAGTCCACTTTTAGGGTTAGGGTTAGTGCTAGGGAATCATGGGAATTGTTTTTTTTTTTTTTCTGAGACATTGAGCCTTCTCTGTCTGGTGCCACAATAAAATACAGTTCCCATGATTCCCTAACCCTAAAAGTGGACTCAATTTGCACTATTTCTAGCAGTCTGCAACCCCCCCCCCCCCCCTTAGTAAGATTGATGGTTTGGACTGGAAGTACGTAAAGTTAGGAAACTAAGGACATAGGACCCAATTAGTTAGTCCAAGTGTTGATGAGAAATGCCAAAATCGTTCACACATGGCAAGTAAAAGTGTAACGTAATCATCAAAGGAGGTGTTTTGGAGTTGTGTCCTATAACCAATGAAAATGGTCAATTATGCATATATTAATATAATTATAAGTTAGCTGTGTAAGATGGTATATAAGGATGTTGAGTAGCAAGAGGGGGTGCTCTCTGTCAGAGGCCCATCAACGTTAAAGGAATAAACTCAATTTTTCCTAATTTGAGGGTCTCTGTTTCCTGTTTTACCCACAACACAGAAGGGGAGAATACTATAATAGTATGGCAGAAATATGGTACATGGGGGGGGGGGGGGGGGTTTGCCAGTCTACCATATCAGACAGTTTGATGACTGCACCAGAAATATCTAGCTAGGAATTCTGAGTATGTTATCGAACTACATATCCCAGGATTCCTTAGGATAGACTCACAATATTTAAAGCAATAACAAACTGCTGTAACTGTCCATTGTATATGCACCCAAGAGCAGAAAGAGAGGCAGCCACCCTTCATCAGGCACTCCAGTAGATAGTGCATGTCCATATACATCAGCGGTTCTCAACCTGTGGGTCGTGACCCCAG